CTCAGTACCTATTCGTTTGTTTTAGCCCATTCGCCAACCCCATTCATACATGAAAACCCCACCGAGTACCATAACCTTATTATGACTCGCAATTCATACAAGTGCTAGTACCTTTCACTTTCCCACAACCCCGACAAGACTAGCCCAAGCATTGTTGTTCCCGTCGTATAATCAAACATCGTAGCAACAAGGTCTGCCGTGACACAAGTCGTTGGTCGTCTCGGAGAATACCCAAACAAATAAAACTAAAAATGAATAACTCCTCATCAATGCTAGTCCCCGCCTTTCTTTCTTTTTTTTTCTCTTCAACACCATCCCCGAAATTATGTCATTGAAGCACTCGGCGTCAATCAGTGCCCATCATGTTCCATCATTCTGGCATCGGGTGCATCTAATGGTGAAACAGTCTCAGATGCTATGCCGTTCTCCCCCCTGCTATGCTTCCAATCGGTGGTACCTATAGAAATATTTGTTAGTTAAATCACCCGTGCAATCCGGAGATAACTAACCACTCTGTCTCGGACGCTTCTCTCCTGGGGCCGTAGTCCTACGAGCACCATTCTTTGTTGCCTCGGCCTCCAAAGCTTGCCACTCGAATCTCCGAAACTCAATCTCCTCTAGATAATCCTCCTTCTCTAATCTCTTAATGTCAGAAGGACTCAAGCGTTCCCTTCTCGTTGTCCTAATCTCGTTGAGAATATGCACCAGTACTGCTTCGGGACACTTTGTTCGAGGAAGAGCGTATTTCTGAAGTCGAACATAGCGGCGGGTGACATCTGTAACTCCATCGTGGGAGAACGCAATACAGTAGGCCATTTTCTTACCCCAGCCTATTACACGTCAATCACCATTCAACATTATAATTGATGGAGAAGGTCATACCCTCTGCATATAACCTTGGCTTATCCCATGCCTCTTCGCAGGAGTCAATGTGAACCCATCGGTTAACATGTTCTGAATAGACCTCGGTCCAAACCTAGGCACAAAAAAATTAGAAACGTACAATTATCATGATTCCCAGCCGGTTATATGCATACGTGATCCTCGCTGTTCCATACCCAACGGACACGGCTCCCGACCGCCCTACACAACATCGAGAAACAGTTTGCCCACTCTCCACACCTTCCCCTTCTGGTGTTGAGTAACGCCCAAACATCACTATATCGTGGGAAGCGCTCATAAGTACCGCATTTCATGTTCGTGCACTTGAACAATTCAGTTCTTGTGGCTCCTCTAGCAGTTTCATCGGGCAATGGTTGTGTCATTCCTTCAGGCGAGGTTTCCGAATAGCAGATAGGACATAACGGGTTGTTAATCCAAGTGAAGAAATCACGTTTGAACCATCTATAAAAACAGACTCAAAATTAGTAAAAACCCAACCGTATATATCATCAATTAAATGTCCCATCCACCGCATGTGCCCGCAGCAAATCCCTTCTAGGCCCAGACCTTCCACTGCCAAACCTGAGACCCTCCTCCGCACATTACCTGCCAAAATATCACCAATGTATGTTCCCGCAAACACTATCCAACTGCCCACACCAACCCAGTCCAACAAAGAGAAGCCGAGGAATAAAAGGTATTCGGCACCCACCTTAACAAAGCCATGATGACACAATCTTGATAGCCCCACTTTCCACGCTCCTTTCCCAAACTCCTAGCCTCTGCCTCATACATTTGACTCTCCTCCTCAGCCTCCGCATAGATTCGATTCAGCGGAATCAACGTAAGCGCTTCATCCAACAATCCCGGATTCTCATATCTCGCTGGGGTATTCGCAAGTAGCATCAACTGCCCCCTAAATTTTAGGGACGCAACATCCTCGGGCGGATGCGACTCTCTTGTCGCCCCCGATCTTGTATATGCTGGTAATCCATCGGGGCCGACTTCTTGTGACCTAGAGGAAGAAGATGTGGTAAGGGTGAACTTGGACCTTGCTTTACGAAGGCCGGGCCGGGGTGAGGATAACGAAGAACTCGAGGGTGTTGTAGGACGCACACATGACCTCGATGAGGACGAACTGTTGGAAGGTATTGGTGGTGGAGGTCGTGATGGAGGCGAGCCCAGGGAAAGATTACGGGTCTGTTTTGTTAAACACTCTGCACGCTTCTTGTGGATAGCATCAGCGAAAGCACCTGTCAGGTGCTTGGCCCATGCCACAGGATCCTCAGAAGGTGGTGGCGGATTCGACATTATTGTGATGAGCGATCTCAGGAACAACGAACAGAACCTTAATTAAAATCGTGCCGGTTCGAGAAGGACTGTTCCGTGTCGGTCGCTTGTCGTAAAAGAAGGTGGGGTTGGTGAAAGGTGGTCAAGGAATGAACAACTGGAACAGTGAAGACCAGGCAAGGGTTAACGATTATAGATGGAGTATCGTCCCTATTGATGGAGCAACAGAAGCAGCAAGCGGCAAGTTCGTGGGCAGCGAAGGGTTGGATGGGGGATGGAAGAGGGAGCAGTAAGGTTTTGGGGAGTGTCTGCTCCTTCGCTGTGTGTGAGGGTGAGTGAGTGTGTGCGTGTGTGTCGGGGTGGAGCGTAGCGTTAGCGGGAGGCTTACGCACGCACGCAGACAACTCGCGGCTTCTTTTGGCAACGACCTGGATTAGGCTGGATTGAATTGGCTGCCGACACCGTGACGGTCAAGACAACGACGATCCCTCGTCGATAAGGAGAAAAAATGAGAGAAGTCACGGAAATAATTCTTTCCACAGACTCGATGAAAAAAAAAAAAATGAAAAATGAAAAAAATGAAAAGCTTGAAAAGGAAAGAAAAGGGAAAAGGTTACCACGAATGTGGGAGAGGGCAGGTCGCTGGGGCGAAGTTATTTCCGTAGCGTTTCGAGGCGGGGGGGCTTCTCTTGCGCTCGCTTCGCTCTGTTGCTGCTCTTGCTCTTCCTGGGGTGTGAGAGAGCAAGTGGGCGAATGCGAGAGGGAAGGGAGGGAGGGAGAGAGGAGTGCGAGGGTAAATTAATAATATGACGGATTGCTGTGAGGTGGTGGGTAGGAGTGTGAGAGTGAATAGTCTACCGCGAGTACGAGTATGTATTCTTGAAAAGAAAGTGTGTGTGAAATTGCGGCGATGCGAAATGCAGCGAGCGAGCAACCCGCCAGGATTCGCTGGCTGGAGGGGGAAGAGAAGGGGATGGAGAAACTGAGGAAAATCTGGGATGGGTAATGGATGGATGGGTTGGGTCTAGCAGCAACAGAATAAGAAGGGAAGGAGAACAGTGCCACCAGAGAGGCAGGACACGCAACCTGCAACCAAACTGAACCGACTGCCAAACCCAGCGAGAAATCAGGAAGTCAGGATTATACTCGTAGACGAATCAGCCACGCCTTCATCGTCGTTTACTTTCTGCCTCCTCTTCTTTTCTGATTCCCTCCTCTCGATTTGCCTTCATGTCTATCATTTCATCTCTCTCTAGTCTATTCACTTCCCTACCCTCTTCTCTGAAGGAACTGTTTTCTCCATCCCCGGATCTCGAAATCTAATCTTTTTTCCCTTGTGAGCAACACAACCTTTCCCTTTTTTGGTAGCATACGCAACCCTCCAGGACACCATCCTACGCGCGGCAGGGGTGGGAATCGAACAAAAAGTTCCTTCCCCTTCCCCTTTTAGATCTTAATTAGTAATCCTGACTCCCGATCTCTTTTCTGATTGGCCAAAACACTCGCCTCATGGGCCAACTCGTAGCCGTAAAGGGCAATCGAAACATGGGTTGAATTCTCAACACGTCTTGATCCAGGGTGGATTAAAAGGATTCCGGTAACCGCATGTTAAACACCCAATCAAATCATCCATGATGCACAAACCTACCTCCGCCTTCGACTTCATCCACGCGTCCCTCCCCTCCATGTGCCGCTTGACTGAGTGGGCAGTAATTTAGATGTAGATACTGGATTCCAGTATCGCTCTGATATCAACACTGCTTGCCTAAAACCTCTGTGTCCTCCACCACGCAAGGCCGAAAAAAAGAAAGGAAAAAAGAGAGAGAGGCCCGCTCGTCGGCCTCAAGCCCGACAAACCAATACGGTAAACCGCCTTCCCCAAATACTCCGACGATGATAAAGGCGAGTTTCGTCACCGAATGGCGATGAAGGCCATTCAACTGCAAACTGCCTAACTCAGAGGAAACAACGATGGACGACACACTATATGTAATTTAGCTTCAGCTCGTGAAAGAGCCCCGACCACCGGCACCACCACTTGTAAGGTACCCGTATCCACAGTACCCCATCCCTCCGCAATAAATCACCTACCCTAACTGTATTTGTACGAGTACAGTACCAGCACTCGAACGCGGATACAATAAGTGCTGCAATTAATTCAGAACAAGCGTAGTACGGATATCGGAGGAACACCATATCAATACCCGGGAGTTTAGTAGCGGAGAATTTTAACGACTATGATACTATGATAACAAGTGCCATGCTAAGGGGGGGAAGGAAGTAACACCACGTGTTCGTAAGGCTGCTTCTGCACACGAGCACACACGATAGTTAGATGGATGCTGACAGCGCAAAGTGATTCTCGGTGCTGAATTTGAGAGAAAGGTCTTGTCTCGCTCGACCTTGACAAAACCACCCGCGGTCTAGTAGCATCGCTTACCCCTGCGGCACGAGGATTTCAGGGCACCTGGTTGCAGGAGTGCGTATCATACCTGAAGTTCCTACCAAATACGGGTGCCAGGAGCACGTCTGGCCAGGGTGGCTTCGACCACTCCCATCCCCGAAAACCCTACTCACAGTGGCGCAGTGCCGGTACGAGTACTTGTACATATTATCATACTCAAGCACCATTTGTATATCCTTGGCAAAGTCATCCTTTCAACATCGGCATAATGGCTATACACATTTACATACAAGCCCACGCAATCGAACCCAATACAGCACCGTAAAAACTCAAGTATGATAGAAGATACCGTACTCGAGTACACACATGTGCCAGGACGTTGTAGCTGCCCCTCCTAGTACGGTACCGGTGGGGCACAGTGCGTACCGTATATCCCTTTTGTATTGTCTCGACTGAAGGCTGGGCTTGCCGTGTTTTCCCTTCGCATGGGGAATCGCAACGTCCCGGCTCATTTACAGTATCTTCTATTGCAGTTCCCGCGGTACTCGAGTAGTGCCGGCAGAAATATCATAGCCAACGAACAAGCTCGCTTCCAAACAATTATTGCAGAAAAAAAAAATCACTGGTTTCAAACCTCCAGCTACCAGTACAGTACCAAAAAGCTGTGCAGGCCACAATTCAAACCATGACACGAACCATCGTAACACAGATCATCCCTGTCAAACTTGTAGATCAAAGTCTTGGCGCTGACTGCTATCATTGCACAAACATGGGAATCCTCCCAAATGTCGAGAGATTCCGATTTCGCTGATCAAATGATGGATCATCCCTACTCCCAACGAGTGGTCGAGTGCTCAAGTGCCGGTAGAGTAGAGTAGAATACGCTAATTTTCCTGGGCCTTCCTCTTTGTCCGTTGCCTTCTTCTATTCACTCAGTCCGTCGGAGAGCTCGAACGGCCGAGGACCGGATGGCGGTATGGTGCAAGCTGTATGATAATAACCAACTTACCCTACCGAAGGCCACAATGCTGTGAGAATCTCAAATGAAACTAAACAATACCAGTAAGCCCATCATAGCCCTCTCAATAAATTTACCATTCCAAACAATATCATGTCGTACTTGCACAGAGCCACAATACCCTACCCATACAGGAATCGAGGAAAACCCAAAACACATCTGATACCAACTCTAGCACTAGCAGACAGGGGAGCTAGATGCGGAAAGTAATCATCTTGGAATGTTTGGAATCGTACTCGTACTGTACGGTACATTACCCCTCCCGCCCGCCGAGCAAAACCGTCGATACCGCCGTTCCTCTGTGCGATACGAGCACCTTCCCCTCGACCCAGCCCAACCCACCCCTGAACGGGAGAGAGGTGGAACGGAAAAAGAGGATAGACCGGAAGGAGCTGGACCACTCTACTCGTATTGTACAGTACTCGTACAGGTACGTACTCGGGGGCAGGGGGGAGGGGCAAATGAGTGTGCGAAGAAGAAGAAAAAAAGTATCATACCAATTTATTGGCTTGGCTATTACAACAGGTGGCGCTATTTTCCCTTTTAGGCATCTGGGAGTCTAAACCCGCGCCAATGAAGGAAATCTCGCGCTGGCCATCTACGAGTATAACGGTACCGTATTTATCCCAATACTTTTATCCATAGCCAGAGCACTCCAGTAAGTTACCGTACTGTACCCGCCAGGCTGAAGGGATTTTTAATTTTGTGGAGGGATGCTTGCTCGCGCGCGAACAAATATGGGTAGCGTATAGTAGACTACCGCGTGATATCGTACTAGTACAACTACTCGTCGGCCCTAGGTGATGTGGGGAGTGACGGTGGCGTTGATGGCGAAGGGCGTCGTCATGGTGTATCACTCGTCACACGGGTTCCGAAGATGACACACCGGGTTCTGCTGGCTATGGGTCCGGGACCGCGCACCACCCGTCGTGATTTGTAGAATGTGCGCCTGCGTGATCTGGTGATATGTGTAGATTATGATATTATTATGTTTTTATTTTTCACCTTTTATTTTTTTCTTCCCCCATAATTACCCTTCCGGACGCCACATCAAGCACCGTTAAGTCACGATGCTCTCTACAGGTTCAGGATTCGAGGCAAAGTGGTTAACCAAAGGTTGGAGGTGTACGCAAGCCCTTCCAAGGCCAGTTGCTGGCCTTGGAACAGTGCCGTATCCGGAAAACAAACGCAATACCGATGACACTTTGGCACCGCTACACTAAGAGAATCTCTGTTCAGGGCATTATCGATTGGTGGCATTATTAGGATTGAGGAGGCATACGTACTACTATCGCGATGCGATCATACCGGAACTCTTTTTTTTTTTTTTTTTTACAAATGCCTTGGGGAACCTTTGTGAATCACTCTACTTGTAAGACCCAATAGACCCAATCCAAACCAATAGGCTGGTCTGGCCGGTCTTCGCCATCCCAGAGGCTAGAATTTGTCTGGACCACCCATATCGGCACCTTCACCCCTCCAGCCAAGGCGGCTGATCTCGACCAGACGAGAACATTTTCACGAGCACCGGTGCGGTAGGCGACAGGCATCGTGGGCGCATAATCATACTGGTGCCTTCAGGGATCCCCCAACACAACTTGGGCAAAAATCCGGGGAGATGCACGGACAGCCAGCCGGTAACCTCCATGAAGTGGAAATATTTTTCGGAGCAACATTCTCCCCGAGGACGAAATAATATATCGAGTGATCGACCGTGACCTAGAACCGGGTTTTACCCTGAGCTAGATCCCGCCCCGGAATAAATCCGAGAGGCGGTTGTGAAGAGGGTGATGATTTCTCGCCTAAAATGGGATTGGATGGTTGCCCTACCGCTTGTGTGATAGCGATGTTCAGCAGGCGAGGTTCGTTAGAATGCAATGATGCAGTCTCAGGTGCCCAAGAAACATACAGCACAAACCCTCGCTCGACGGCCGCTGGCCGGTCTCAAGAGATACCACGGTATCGTATCGTAGAAGCAGATGAACCAATAACGACATACCACACCACAGCTAAGCGAAAAGTCTTAAATGTGAAAATTCCGGCGGAAACTGAAAATGGGGGGGGGATGCTATGTGTGGCGATGTGGCTGTTGGTATGATAATTTGTACTCGTATGATACGATACCGGTACTCGAGTAATGCCAGCTGGGGGGGAAAGAAGAAGAAAGAAGAATTTTTTTTTTAAGTTTATATGTTATTGCCGCAGATGATATCAACAGTAGAAGACTCCGCATTTTCGCATTTTGAAGGGAGCTTTGGCCGGGTGACTGCTACGGTGTCTTTTGTCAAGATCTTTACCTATGATACTCGTAAATGAAGCTTAAATTGGCTGTTTGCGAGCCGTGTCCGGTGCCTTGCAGGGGTTGGATTATTGTGGGATGCCAAGAGCGAGGAAGAGGGGATCAGGAAGCAGCAGGACTGATTTGGGGGATGAAGAATGTACGAGTACGGTAATGTTGCAGCCACAAGGGGTAAGGCGACGCGCTACCATTAATTGCATTAAATCCTTTTACGCGTTCTCTGTCGTTTGCTCTCGCACAAACACACTGAGATAACGAACCCCCCCCTCCTTCACGCGTTCCCGGCCTGACTCTGTTCAAAAAAAAAACATCGTCAGATTCAAGGTCGCAAGAATTGTCGTTACTACTCAACAAAGATCCCCAACGGGGATCGCATGATGATGGCGTCTTCCCTCTACACACCCACGTTCGTGCCAGCGCTCTCGAAACGAAAACGCCCCTCGGATGAATCTTTCTCATCAGATGACTCTGGGTGCTGCCACTCACGGGGAATGATGGATGTACAACCTGGCAGGACGATGAAAAGATGGAGGAATGGAAAGCCTCGTGAGGAGGAAGTATATCGTAGGTCTCCACAATTGGGTTTCCCCGGCACCGGCGTTAGGGCATTCCGCAACATCGTCACGACTACCGTGACATATATCATTCGCTTGTGTGAATAACTAAAAGCTAATACGACGGTGACAGAGTACACTCTCCAAAAGTTATTTTCCGCCCAGAGCTCGCAGCCATCTCATACACCCCCTATACCTGCTCCACTTGCTCCACTAAGCCTCTTGAAGACCATATGTACTCAATCGCCAGGCCACAGCATCCATTCCACTACACCGACAAGCAGAGATGAACGCGTCCTCACTCCTCCTCAGCGGACTAATCCGTTTGCCGTGATGGCGCATACGAAGCCAATATCAAGTAATAGCGCGCCATTTTCCAAGTCAATGTCTTGTGCGTCGGTGGCCGCGTCATCGCAAACTCCCGAAGGGATGGCCTCGTGTGAAGATTGTGACCGACCTGTGGAGTTGAGTGGATTTTCAGGGATGAGTGAGGAAGGGAGGTGCGGGATATGTTCTAAGAGGGTTTGCGAGAGTGGTTGTTCCATCTCTCTTGGAGATGGTGCGAGAATCTGCTTGGACTGTGCCATGAAGAGTTAGAGCTCGGATATCTCTGGCTGCTTGGGTTGTCGGAATATTTCATAGCACGTTGGGAGTGGGAAGTCTTGGCTTGGTTGTATGCCTTGTGCCAGGAAGGATTAGTTAGACCGGATGCATGATATCAACCGCTGGGTGTGGTGGTGGCCACAGGCTGTTCGGGGCGTTGACGGCTTTCTCTCTTCATTTTGGCTTTGGGTTTAGTGTTTTTCTATTATGATACTGTATTGTTACAGTAGTCCATGGTGTTCCTTGCTACTGTACCGGTGCCTGACTTTTGACTCATTTTTCCCTGTGACTTGTTAGAATGTCTATAAAAATCAATGGAGGTTTTTTTTTTTTTTTGAATACTGCGAGAGAGATAAGGTCTAGGTCGCCTCAGTTCGTATTTTTAGCTACAAAATAGTTGATCTTCATGTAATGCGAATGATAGTTCATGAGGGAGCTTTGTTTAGCTAGAAGATGAGGGATTGCGTGGCATATAGATCTACCGGTATGAAAGACCCGAGGACGCATCATGTTTGCTTGTCTACTGGCTTGGCGGTTTGTTTGCTGGTTTACCTGGCCCATGGTAGTGGTTTATAATTTAATTGTGAGGAGCTTCGCTTTGGTCTTCCCTATCATCGGATATATCGAGGTAACAACCCAGACGGATTTCGGGGATTTCAGAATCATTGAAAAATATCAGCGCCTATATAAATTTATCTCGTGGCGGTGGTCGGACAACCGGGTTGGTCGGATTTTCTTTTTCGCTAGAATTTTCCTATGAAAAGTTACCTTGTGGTTTTAGGGGTGTGGTTTTCAATGCCGAGGATTAGAATTGGGGGTTTTTGGTGGAAAATCGTGTACGATATCATATTATCATACCATCGGTATATGCCGGCTGCTAGTCGATATGCAGCTCACGTGATCTTAATTTTTAGCTAGGTACAACGCGTCCACGTCGGGGACCCTCCCTGGTTGATGCTCTGAACCTGAGAGAGCAAACTTTGACAATTTCCTTTCCATTCCTTTCCATTCCTCTCCTCTCCTCTCCTCTCCTCTCCTCCCCTTCCCCCTTTCCTTTCATTCCGGTCATCTTTGGATTTATCTATTCGGACAGCTTGATGCCATGTCTTTTAGGGCATCACAGTTAGATCTTGAGCCGATACTTGCCGGACTGAACAATGCCCAACGACTAGCTGTGACGAACCCGTCGTCTGTGGTACAGATACTTGCCCCACGTATAACCCTCCCCCCTTTTTTTAATCCTCCTTCTTACTAAGTACTCTGGACTGACCGAGCAGTAGCTGGTTCCGGTAAAACTAGAACACTAACCTCTCGCGCCGCATGGCTACTATGTCCTCCGCAGTCGCTGGACCCCCGAAATGTCATTGTGGCTACTTTCACCGTTAAAGCTGCCCGGGAGATGAAGGAGCGGATATCGAAGCTCGTTGGGAACGGAGTGGAAGGTCGGCTGGTGCTGGGCACTTTCCATTGTATAGCTAGGAAGTACTTGGTAAAGTATAGGCATCTGGTAGACATCAAGCCGGGGTGGGGAATTGCGGATTCCAGTGATAGTTTGGGAATTGTCAAGGCGGGTTATGGTTTCTCGGAAGGGGAAACGCAAGTACTGATGTTTGGGCCATAGAGGATAATCAAACGGAGGAAATCGCCATTGGATCCAAGCCAGGTTAGATCTCGGATATCCTATTTCAAAGCCCGAAATAGCTCTCCGGTGGCAGATGCCCTACCACCTCCTTCAACCGCAGGGACACAATCTGCGCAGGCTAGAGTTAGGGACATTCCTACTGAGGATTTCGCTCAGATTTTCGAGGACTACGAGGCGGCTTTGGGGGCGTCAAACTTACTCGACTATGACGACCTGTTGCTTCGGTGTCTTGAGCTGCTTAGGCATAACCTGGAATGCGTTAGCAACGTAGAAGCAGTTCTTATCGACGAGTTTCAGGATACGAATTTGGTCCAGTTTGAATTAATGAAGCTGCTTGCCTGGAAGCGTGAACGGATTACAATTGTTGGAGATCCGGACCAGAGCATATATGGGTTCCGAGCTGCAGAAATCCGTAACCTGTCGAGGATGGTTAGGGCTTATCCACAGACACTTGTGGTTCACCTTGAGCAGAATTATAGGAGCTCTGCTAGTATTTTGCTTGCTGCATTGGAGGTGATTGAGCAGGATCATGATCGTCCGAAGAAACCCCTTACCCCCTCGCATTCGGTGGGAACTAGGCCGGTCTTGAGAAGGATTCCCAGCGCTTTTTTGGAAGCAAGTTGGATAGTCTCAGAGATTCAGAGGGTTCGAGCTATGACTGGGGGTATGGTGGAGCTTGGTGATATAGCTATCCTCGTGCGGTCCGCGAATTTAACGAGAAATATAGAGACGAGCTTTGTGAAAGCTGGAGTGGCATACAAGATGGTAGGAGGGTTGAGGTTTTACGATCGCGTGGAGATTAAAACTCTTCTAGACTATCTGAGAATAGTACAGAATCCGGGTAATAATGATGCGCTGACTAGGATTGTTAATACCCCTTCGAGGAAGGTTGGGGATACAACGATTAAAGCATTACTTGATGAGGCGGACAAACGAGCCAAGAGCGTGTGGGAAATTATCAGAACGGGGCTCGGTGGCATCTGGAAAGATGTGAGGATCGCCAAAGCTGCCGAGAAGGGTCTGGGTGACTTTATGGGTATTATCCTGTCCACCCAGAAGCAGCTTGAAGGGGATGAACAAGGGAAAGGTCTGGTGGATGTTGTGGAATTCTTGATGAGGAGAATAGGCTATGAAGACTACCTCAGAAGGAGCTATCCCGAAGATTTCGATGCAAAGTGGTCTAACGTTAGCGAGCTCCTTTCACAAGCACAGGAGGTGGAGAGGTTGGATGACGACGAGGATACGCTTCCAGACATTGATGGGTTGCCGCAAAGTCAGGTTGAGCAGAGCAGGTTGCAGTTGGTGCTGGACCGCTTCTTGTCTAATACGGCGCTGGCGAACGAGGTTAAGGGGGATGATGAGACGGTTAAGCAGGGACAGGTTACAATTAGTACCATTCATGCTTCTAAAGGTAGCTAGGATCTGTCGGGTGCGCTCTGTCGGGACCTTAATTGACAAATGGGTAGGGTTGGAATGGCCAATAGTTTTTATCCCGGCAGTCTACCAGGGCAGCATTCCGCATTCGAGGGCAGATGATACAGATGAAGAGAGAAGATTGCTCTATGTTGCAATGACTAGGGCACAGGCGCTTTTGTATATGTCATGTGCTGTGAGGAATTCTCAAGGAGGTACTGTCGCTTGGCCAGTCGGCGGACTAGTATAAAATGGGCTAACATTGTTGAACTAGACAAGACGAAACTCTCGCAATTCCTCACGCATCGCTCTTTATATCCTCTTCTTGACAGCCGTGGACCTACACTCGGGTTCTCTTCCGTCCAATCTGTTAGCGGAATTCTTGGCCGAGAGTGCCCTTCGGAGGTTCATATCCAAATAGCTGTTGATAAGAGTGGGGTTGCGTCCACCTTGGATGACCAATTTCCTGATAGGGATCCCTTAGAGTCTGATAGTGAGGGTGACGACCTTGGTGAGGATGGGGCACGGTTGAAGAGGAGGAGGTTACAGAGTGAGCAAGCTTCTTGCAAAAAAACAAATAAACCTTTAGACGAAGGATTCAGACCAGTTGTTTCTCGGGAGTGGCCTGCGGGGAGGATGGAAAAACAACCACCTGGGGCAGTGGTAGGGTTTAGAAGTGCGGGTAGCCACATGCAGGAGCTCAAGGAGACTCGGTTAAATCAGGAGGCGGATAGGGCTCGAGTTGAGAAGGAAGAACAAAGGCGGGGTCCCACGATGGCCGAACCACCAAACAGAAGCGGTAACTTGATCGAGGGAACTCCGGCTACCGCAGTGCGATCGAATAGCAGGCCGGCAGATCAAGGGAGTCTGCACAGGTATTTCGGGCAAAGGATGCCAGAACCGGTGAGAAAGGTTGTTCCGCCTAAAGCACACACTGCGACGGAGGTCATAAGGGACAAATCTATAAGGGATAAGAGTCTTAAGGAACAAATTGAAGCGCTACCTCAGCCCAAATTCCCCGTCCGACCTGACCATCACAGTGATGTCATGTTATTGAGTTCTTCGCCTGCGCGTGCGCCGCCCAAGAGAAGGCGAGAGAAAGAAGAAATCCCCTCCTCACCACCGGCGTTTTCCGTGCCGTTTTCTAGATACTTAGAGTCAGCGGTAGCGGAGAGGTGCGTTGAGATTGAAGAGACTACCATCGCTGGAGCGTCGGCTGCAGTTATACATAACGCAGCAGGCTCAAGGAATACAACTACGGTGACAAATCCCAATGCTGTAGCGATGGCCGCGACAGCGACCACGGCCCCGAAGAGAAGAACTTTGGGCGTTCGACGGAGTATGGGTGATGGATGGAGAAATAGGGCGAGTGCTAACCGATGAAAGGAATTTGGGGGATTGGTTTGTTTTTTTGTATTTTTATATTCTGGCGTAAATAAATGGAAGGAGGATTTATTTGGAAGTGACAAATAGCTGGGGCTTTGAATACTAGATGGGTTGTGCGTTGGTTGTTACGTACATGGGAAGCTTTTGGTTCTAGAGTCTGGGTGTCATGTTGCTTGTAATGGTTGCTTGATGCATCATATTAACTCAAGTGAATTAGGTAAACAACGACTGTGTGGCGTAGTGGAAGCGCGTCTGCTTTACAAACCTGGTGATCGCAGAAGGCCGCAGGTTCGAACCCTGCCACAGTCACAACGAGCTCGGTGTTCGTGAATTCTATTTTTTATTTTCCCTTCTTTTTGTTCTTTCGGGTCCTCTTTGAGAGCAGATCTTGTTCGTTGCCAAAATCAACCGCGCGCTCACGAACACGCGGACGTTTTTCATTGGATAACACCAAATTCTCACAGCTTCAAGGAACCTTTTTTTTTTTCGTTTCACGGCGAACTTTACTTGCGGATTTTGAGGCTTTACTGCGTTTTTTTTTTTTTTTTTTTTTTTTGTTGCTCTGACGAGTCCTGGTGACTCTCAGAGATGTTTGCTTTACTTGATCTACACGGGAGATATCCGTGGCGCTATCCGGTAGTCCAGGGGTGATGATGATGACACCGGGCCATGACAGCAGTGCTTATTCTTGGTTTATATTAGGCGGAGACAACCTGTAGAGACTGAGAGTTGTCTAGGACAATTGAGATTCGTTTCTGTAGACAGAGATTCAAGTTTGTCTAGGAAGGTGTGAGGGTCACTTGTTTTGTTTATGACTATTAAGAGTAAGGTAAGGTAGAAAAAATATATATAAACAATATTATATTGTTAAGGTCTCTTCTCTGTTACTTGATAATGTCTAAAAGCTTGGGAGGTACTATGATATTAATATTTCACATCTGAGTGTTTGCGGAGTACTTCTATCTCTTATAAAATCTATGTATCTTTCTAATATAACTTGTAACTTTAGTTCTCCAAAAGTGCTAATACCTGGAGACTCTGAAAACCATCACATCCTCTTTAGCAACTACTATTTTATTTCTTGGACAGCTTTATTGTTTCCAATAGTAATTACCTAATTGGCAGAGTTTTCAGACCTATGACTTAGTTCTCAAGTTGAACTATGTTGGCCCCAATTGCCTTTTTGATCAATGAAATATTAAGTTTTATCTTGAGTCTGTGTTTACTGGAGGAGTTGTATAAGCAACCTTCCTAGGTCACCGACTTTGAACCTCGATAACTTCTGATCTAACTAATGGAATTTTTCTGGATAACTTCCTACTGGTTTGCAGAATGGCATTCTATTGAACTGACAGATAATCTTTTGGTTGATAACTCTTAGTTGTCTTAGATCATAGGGCTTAAGTTGTCACGAGGTATTGGTAATAATTTTTGCAATAATGATATACTTTTTGACCTAGTTGTAACATTCTATGAAGTCCATTGGCTTATTCAATAGTGTTTGCCAGGAGTTCTGAACTCTTCTGATTATCATAGGATGTATGTAAATATGTTGGCACTTTGTATAGATCCTCTAACATATAACATCATATATTTGTACAAAAATGTCCTGTTACTTATGGCCTATTCCAAAGATATGCTATCTTTGAAGCCTACTAACTCTTTAGGTAGTGGACGGATATACTGTGTTCTACTTCCCAAACCTCGCTAAAGGTGCCCTCTTATATATGCTGCAAACTGTTAGGAATACCGGGATCCAATACCTGGAAATCACCCTAAGTAGCATAACTCCACACAGAATCAGAATCTCTTGTCTCGAACACCCCTCTCTGGCCCCCTTATGGGACCCGCATGTCATCATATATATCAATCTCAGCTGTATGACTCAATGGAAATATTATGTGACATCTTTCTGAAGGTCCCGTATTCAACTCCTATTGTTATCAAAGTTAGTTTTGGTATTGAGTGGTTTTGTACCAATGCTGCTTGCATTTGCAGGGCTTTCGGCAAGACAACTGAGGACCCTCAACGAAAGGGTTATGACTCTATCCTATAGAGGAGCTTTATCTCTATACAATACAAGTTACTAGATAAGAATCTATAGGTTGGATCAGGAGATATTGAGCTTTGAAGTCAGTGACTTAAAAAGGTTATATACACGACTTCACAGAGTTACCCAGAGTAATGAAGGGTTGCCGACTGAGGGATTATCTATCAATCCAGTGGAATAGCTTTCTGCGAATTAGTAGGAAGTCTTCTGGAAGATATCTATCTGTTGGGTAAGGAGTTATGAAGGTAGAAGTCAGGTAACCTAAGAAGGTTACGACTACGACTATCTTTGCAGATACAACCTGTAGATGAAACTAATCATTATATCAATAATGGAGACAATTGGGGCCAACTCAGTTGAACTTGAGAACTAGGCCATAAGTCTAAAGACTCCAATGATTGGATAATTACTATTGGGAATAGTATGATTCCTAGTTAGTGGTATCGTAATTGCCAAAGAGGGTGTGGTAATTTTCAAGGTCTCCAGGTGTTTGCATCTTTTAAGAATACCCGATGTTGCAAGTTATAATCAGAGAGGTACATAGTTGTATAATAAACAGATATAGTCCACAAATACTCAGATGCAGAATATAAATATCGAAGTGCCTCTCAAGCTTTAGACATTATCAACTGAAAGGAGACCTTAATAATATAATATTGTCTTTACGATTCAATTCTACTTTACCTACTTTATTTTACTCTTAGCAGTCATAAATCAAACAAGTAAAGTCCGAGCCTTCTAGGACAATCTCTGTTTACAGAAACAAATTTTAGTTGGCCCAGACAACTTTGAGGTTTATCAGGTTGTCTCTGCCTAACATTATATTGTTAGATCTCCTTGTTACCAAGGATCTCTACCTATTCACCTACCTTTTCCTACCTATGATGCAGCCAGGACACTAAGTATTCCTCTGCATATCCTACTCAAATGGAAACTTCCAAAAACGTAGGCTTTCTAGCTCACATATGAGAAAAAGAAGCTCGTAAAAGAACAAATGGAGATGTTACAACCTCCTAAGCAGATTATTTCAGGGGACCCAATGGATACCTCTGAAGGTCACCACTTCACAACTCTCAGTCATTCGTCCTCTCTCTCTCCGGCTCTCTGAAAACCCTTCGGAGGACTAGTAGGCAAAATTGTCAATACTCCAACATCTTCAAGGACCCCTTTTCCCATTTCAGGACCCTCTACACCACGTCCAAATACCCATGCAGCTGAACTCGCAAAACTTGCTGCTAGGATTGTAATAGTAAGATGTCAAATACGGTTGGATATTTGAACCAGTATCAATACTGCTAACATTGCCTTCGAAAATCTGTCAGTCAACTCACCAGCCAATACTTCAGGGCTGATAGAAGTTCAACAAAGGTTGCTGAAAGGATAAGACATACATGACAATGACATAGCCGTTATGTTATATCAGTGTACAGTGGTGGAAGCAACTGTCAGAAATCCAAAAAAAAATTAATAGAGAAATAGTTGCTAAATTGGCAGCACAAGATTCATGACAAGAGAATCACGAGGAGGTAACCACCCAACTGTAGCAAAAAGCTTTCCAGTGAGATTTCAGTTGGGAATGAGCTTTCCAGGAGTTTAGAGCACAAAAGACCCAACATAATCAAGCAATATGAAACTTGATATCCAATCTGGTAGGCTGACAAGAATGGGAGCCAGATCGCTATGGTGACTTTACCCATACCATTCAAAGGGATCAAACCCATATATCTGATACCTTATCCCTAGTACTTGACAAATGTAAAGCACTAGATAGTGGATAACTAAGCAGTTAGCATACCATGTTGGAGTCAGTCTGAGGAGAACAGGAAGATGCTGCAAAAAGGAAAAAATCTGAGGAAATCGGAACTCAAAATAAGGGAAAGCAGAGAGAAGGAGAACTTCCAACTTCAATAATACAGGGCGGCAACTTGATTGATGGGAGTGAACATAATGGGGATGATGATTGTAACCAGTATGGGTACCCGGTTATTAGTTTTGTTTTATGTTTTGTTTTAAGTATCACTTTGATACTTGGTTTGTTTTAAATATCATTTGATACTTAGTTTTATTTTATGTTTTGTTTTAAGTATTCTTTGATAGTTAGTATTGTTTTATTTTATCAAAGTGTATTGCTGGATACCTTTGATTAGTTTTGTTCATTCTAGATATGAACTGATATGTGTATTTAAAGACTCCCTATTCCCATGATGGAAAAGTCAGACTTCAACAGACAGTATTTCAATATACTTGGTTGAATAGTTACTTCTTTATTTCTCAGTACATCCACGAAGCCTCCTTTAGTTCTCAGCTCTCACCTCCTCTCTGGTAGAGTAGGCCACCTGCCAACTATTGTACTATTTACCAATAATGTGATTAGCATCTTGTGAACAGTTACATTTTTTTAACTTCAGCAAGTGGTTAAGAACCTGTCTCTGGATTTAGGCCTGATTAACTTATCGATATCCATCTCAGAGTGCTAGCGGAGAGAAGCGGCAGAATCACGGTACATTCAGCTTCGTCTCAAAACCAATATAGAGTCTTTGACAACCAGGAGTGGGAAGCAGATCCCACAACAAGACCTCACAAGAAAGAAACAACCACGACGCTCTGCTAAGGAGCCAGGAGAATCTGCAAACACGGAAGTCTCACAATTTCTAGGAGAATTCCCACTTATTCCAGCAAAGAAGTCTACCTTTGATCCCCCAAATGACCTGGAAACCAGTAGCGAATCAGATATGGCTAGCACTGGTGGAGGACCTTCAGTAGGAGGAAAGTCTCAAGCATGACCTGAAGAAGAGTAGAAACCCGAAGTACCTGAACCTCCTAAGTTCAAACTCCACCTCCTGGTAAAGTTCACAGGAGAAGGAAAAGATTTCAAGCCTGAAGCTGTCGACTGATGGGCAACTGAACTTACACACTACCTTCTTCTACAAAAAATAGATGTGGAAAATCCAACAACTGGATTATATATTGGATCATTCTGCGAAGGAAAGGCAACCAATGCATACCACCAATGCTATAAGAAATATGGTGGAAATGTATAATTGAGAGGATCTACAGTACTCAATTACCTCAAGAATCAATTTCGATCCTC